GCGCAGCCACTAGACCCAACGCAGTCGCTCCGCGTTTGCGCGCGCAGCCAGTAGGCCCAGAGCTGTCGCTCCCGCGTCAACGTTCCCGGTACGTTTTCCTTATTAATTCAAAAACGAAGCTTCAAATCCCATTTTCGCAAAGGGAAATCTTATTCAGAATCACGCCAGCTACCATTTCAGGGACCTACACTAATTGTGAAACATCCTGTAGGTAATCAGAAGTTAATAATTACATCTTGTAGGTACTTAAAAATTGTTCAAACTTGAATTCTTAAAATTTGTTAAGACCTAGAGAAGTACATTGGTCAGCAAAATACACGAACTTGTACTCAGACTAATTTATGAACAAATTTTTTAAAATTTGTTGAACTCTTAATTCTTTAAATTTGTGAATTTTGAAGGCTGGCAGAAGAGTGCATTTTTTTTTCAAAAACGAAAGTATGCAACGAAGGGTTAACTGGGATATCGATAGCTTCTATTTTCGATACAGCGCGGCGTTGCGCGCGTGTCTTCGACGAGCGCCCTTTGGAAAATTAAGGTCGAATTAACCGACCGCTCCAATCGCGCGTGTTCCGCTAAATCGGAGCCGAAAGTGACCCCTGTGACGTCTCTCCGACGATACTCTCGATCGCTCGATTTCCATCGATCATGCGATCAAACTCGATGACCATCGATCGCAACCCACGGGTAGAGCGAATTGTACGGAATGTACAATGGAGTGTCGAGTATTCCACACTTGAGACTCTGCTATGTGTGGAATTGTGTAGTTATCCCCAAGATGTTTCGATCGTTTCTAAACTTACATTTGTACTGAGATTTTCAAATTATGTATTATTGTGGTAATACATTTTCGGGATTTCTGGTGGGTACATTTGTAAATTTGTGATATTGGCAAGTTTTCAAAAGTAGAATTTATGAAGTTCTCTTTTCTGTAGTCATAAAGTAGCCATATTTTGTAAGTCTGCAAATCTTTGAATTCATGTATTTCGTAAATTTTTAATTATCACTATTTTCTTAAATGTTCCTAAGTGTTCTCACAATTCCTAAATCCCTAGACTTTCCACATTTTCCAAATTAACCAAACTAACCAAACCTCTGAATTCCCTAGAACCGCTCAATATCCTAAAATTCTTTAGAATCGCAAAATATCCCAATTCCCAAAATTCGCTAGAACTGTGAAGTATCCCAAAATTCCCTAGAACTTCAAGGCATCCGAACTCCTCAAAACTTCCTAGAACCGCGAAACATCCTAAAATTCCCTAGAATCGGAAAGTATCCCAACTCCCAAGATTTCCTAGAACCACGTAATATCTCCAAATTCCCTAGAATCTCGAAGCGTTCCAACTTCCAAAATTCCCTAGAACCGCGAAGTATTCCAACTCCTAAACTTTCC